TTTCTCTCAATGTTCTTTGAGAAGTGAGAACCGATTTTTATTATATTTTAGTGGCGAACTAGGGGATGAATCGGGGTTTGCACACTACCCGGTAACCGATTTCAATAAAACATGGTAATTATATGTAATTCCACGTACTTTTGAGGTCGGTTTTTTTAAAACAAATACCTAAGCCGTTCAAGTCCTATACTCAAGCTAGGTAGTATTCTTTTATCATAGTTTTGAAAAAATGCAATAATTTCACTTGTTGAATAGACAAAGGTAGAGCGTGCGACAAACGAAGAGCCTGAACAGCAAAGGACTTGTCGTAGTACCGGGAGGTATGCAGGGGCATCTTATTGAGGAGAGTTGAAGAATTCGAATGGTTTCTTCAGATCAAGTGGTGTGTGAGGAATGAATAAGATGCCATAAAGAAGATTACTAATATGAGTATTCCGGCGTAGTCTCATAGGTAACCACTTCAGCTCGTTGCGGTAAATGGAAACGTGATCAAATTTCCTGAGATCATAAATATACCGGAAGCAAAAGTTTTGCAGACGTTCGAGCTTCTTGAGCTGTTCTTCGGTTAAATCCAAGCAGCAGGCATCAGCATAATCGAGAATTGGAAGAAGAGTTTGTGCAAGTGTAATTTTCGTGGCATTCGGCAAGAAACTACGTAACTGTCTAAGACATAGTTTCCCAAAGTGGTCCCTACAAGAGTCCTAGGGGATCAATAGGGACTGGGAAGCAACGGGTGGCGTTGATGCTGTCCAGGGGGTGCTACCGCATTTGAAAAAGAAACCCTGAATTATCTATATAAGCAACACAACAAATATAATTTTTTGTGTTAATATAAAAAATACGTGGTTTCAATTATTTTTTATGGTGGTGAGGGTTGAAATTTTGTTATCTTGCTTAAGTGGGCGGTAAGCCAAAAAGGAACCTATGAATAGAATAGAATAGAATAGAATCGTTTATTTCATGTTATCAATGTCACAATATTACAATTGGAAATACAATATGTCAAGGGATAACTATGATCGTCAGTAATAAAATTATAATAATAATAATGAATATAAAATAAAGTAGTATAACTACTGCTTGTCGAATAAAATAAAATTAAAATTGTTTCAAAAGAAACTCATCGACACTGTACTTGAATTGTATCCAATAAAAGGTTTTTTAGTCGGGTACAAAACGTTGCATCGTTTCTAACACTTTTCAGGTCTGTGGGTAGATGTTCGTAGAATCGGGGACCTATTACCCGCGGATTTCTAGTTGCAAGTTCGGTACGGTGGGCAACGGATTTTAGTGTTCCCGCGTTTCGTAACGCTCGGCCTCCGCCCGTACGTCGCTCATAAGTAGCCAAGTTTTGACGCGCATAAACTATTATATCATAAATATATTGTGAGTACATGGTCATTATATTGTATTTCTTAAAAAGGTTTCTGGTCTAAAAGATGCTGCAGCGCAAGCAATTTGAGATCAAAGTCACATCAGTCAAAAATTGTAGTTGTCATCCAAAATAACCGGCGGCAAGCGATACCAATCTATCTTGGATACCATTCTAAAACTCCCAATAATCACCCTATGCTTATGTGAAAAATGACGTTTTGAAATAAATGCTTAATAAAGAAGTGAACAGCAGCTCTGCCCTCTTTGTCATATCATTAGCTACGCCTTTGCATTTTCACAATTTTCGAGATGATGGCATCTAAAGTTTTATTTTCTTCGTAGTGTCAATGACGCTGATTTTGCTAAGTCGACTCACCGGAGGAAATGCGGGAAAAACTGTTCTTCTAGATCACATGGTTTAGGTGTGCGATGGGATTAGAGATGGATTTTTACCCGAAAATTATCCGTCTAAGGATAAATACCAGTTTTTACAGAGTATTTATCCTAAAACAGGAATAATTATTTTTTGTGTTTTTTGTATTAAAATTCATTAGAATTCATTTTTTATTAAATAATTAAGTTTTGCCATTCTTTTATGTAACAATACTGTTTTAGTACCTACGTTTTTCGAGTCGAGTGGTATTGAAAATTCGATTGGTAGAAAGTTATTAAATTAACTGTAACCCTTGAGCTGATCATCTTGCGTTAATAAAGTGCGACCCATCTTTACGGTCTTGGGGTCTACTGCGTATTAAATAAACTCAAGTTCGGACTTGAAATAGCCTAAGGATTCTCTTTCATATTTCACACACAAAATCTATTAATTAAAACAAATGATATTAAAAAAATGTTTATAATCGTGTAGGTACACAACGTGTTTTAAAAATATACTTTGTTTTACTAAATATAAGTAATAAACCACGATTAAAAATATTTATACGCGTTATTGGATAAATATCGAGTATAAATGGATATTTATCCTGAGTATTTATCCCAATGATATTTATCCATAACCCATCTCGAGATGAGATGGCTCAGGTAAATAACAACTGATCACCTTGGATTCAATCGACAAGCGTGCCACGAGGCTTATAGGTGACTCGGAATTTAGTCGAGGCGAAGCTGCAGAGCCTTGAACACCACCATAAAGTTGCCCGCTTATCGGGATTCTACAGGATATATCCAGAAGAGTGTGCGATGGAATTGTATAATTTGATTCCGCCTTCCACTTTCCATCATCGGGGGACTAGACGTGGGCAGGGGTTCCACCCCTAATTTGTTGATATTCCCATGATTAGCAAAAAGCGTTTCCCACCGAGCGGCTAGAGTGTCCAATTTCCAGCCTTAGGACTTATTCCACGAACGCTATAACTTGTACCTTTCCAAGTGAGAGTGAATAACTGCCTCCACTGCACTACAACACTGCAAAAATTTTAACTGCCTCCGTGGCCGAACGGTTACCATGCCGGACTGCCACGCAGAGGTCCCAGGTTCGATTCCCGGGCCGGGAGAAATAGTTGTATGGCCTACAATTATTTCTCTCGTGAGTTTGGGTGTAATTTGTGGTTGTCTATATGTGTGTCCATGGCACCCGCGACACAGGGTTTCTCTAGTGCGGGGCTATGTTGAGTGTGTGCGTTATTTATAATAAAAAAAAATAAAAAAAAAAAAAGCATTATTCAAGTGTGCTTTCTACATCATCGACCTCATCGTCACTTCGACACATCAGGTGAGATGAAGGTCGAATTCGCACTTACTTTTTATTAAAAAAAGGTATTTACTATTAAATAACAGAAACGTTACACAATAGGTGTACTTTTCTCGAACATATAGTCTAAAACGAATGAAGAATAAAATATCAAAATTTGCACATATTTTTTATATGGAGATATTTTCTCTTTAAATACTACAGCGAAACTGATAAATTTTGGTTTTCAACTAGAAGCCTATAGTTATTAAATTCATATTTATCTCAAAACTAGAAAATGGACCAGCGGTTTAAGAACACGCTGCGCCACCCGTTGCCCCGTCAGTCGCCATCGGGCCCATGTTAACGTCGGGTCTGTGTCGAATTTTCTCCGCGTATTTTTATTTTCCTCGTATTAATTTTAAGCGCACACCTAATATAATCTAGGTTCGCGTCCTAATACCTCATCTTGAGAATAAAACTGAAACTAAATAAAATATTTAAAAAACGCCAAAAGAAGTTGTAGATCTCGCTTCGTTGATTCTAGATAACGTTAATAGCGAATTTTTAATATCAATCGGATTCTTATTATATAATGAATTTGAGACTTTATGAAGACGACTGTCAAGAAAAGCTAATTTATTTTTATTCCACGTATTAATGTTACGTGTGTCACTATTTTTCATTAAAAAAATAATATTCTTCTTAACATAAAGAACATTTTCATAAATGTACTGTGACCTTAGTGTAAGGCTGAACTCACACTGTTTTTCGCCTATAGTATATTCATCTCTATTTTCCCATTATTAAGGTACAAATTTGTGTCATGCAAACATGGAAACTGGCGTCGACGCGCGTCACTTGAGCATAGTGAGGCGTCAGACGCCGACCGCACTGTAATCCGGGCGCACTAATGCGAGCGTCGTCAGGCGTTGTAGTTGAAAAACAGGACGCGACGCGACGCTTCGAATCTGCGCCAGTGTGAGTTGAGCCTAAGAATGTTAACCTCTTCAAACTTATTTCTCAAAGAAAATCTGGACTCCAAAAAGCCCAGATTGCAAATTGCTCTGACCGCACGTTTCTGCAGGGCAAAGATTCTATTAATATCGGCGGCATTACCCCAAAGCAAAATGCCGTATGTCATTAAACGGTGAAAGTAACTGAAGTAAACCAATTCCGCTATATAAAAGTTATGATAAAGAAGGCAGAGCTACATTGACACTTCCCGTATTGCATATGGAGCAATTAATAACGATCAACTCACCCAAGTCATCATTCTAGGTCTAAAGCAGGTTGTCGAAAGAGTGCTACTTCACTAATGTCACATAGATAACGAGTTACAAAAATTACAAAGAAAAAAACAATAAATATTTTACAAAAGTTTTATATTGTTTATTAAAAACTGGTATATCTAAATGTTTACAGAACATCAACATACATCGTTCATAACAATACAAATTAAAGCTTACGTAGTTCTAGCACTATATAGTTCAACGATTAACAACTTATCTAATTATTTACGAAATGGCTAATGTAATGGGTACGTAAAAGCACTTACATTATTACAATAAATTAATTACTCAATAAACGTGTATCAAAACACTAACTTTACAGAGAAAATATAAAGAATAAAACCTTCAAGAACTCTGCACCGAATGGATTTATTTAAAAAAAATTTTCAGCAAAAACGACGGCAATAGTAGTCAAAAGTGGTGTAACCCCCTGAAATATGTACTTTAGCATTATTTAAAATAATTGTAGAAAAAAATTCTTCTGGGTTACACCAGTTCTGCGCTGATAGCCTCAATTAACCTGACTTTTGTGCGTGGTAAATGAAAATTAAATTTTTTTGTGGCTGAGTACTATTTTATTTCTTCGTAAATTATTTTTTTTTTTTTATTATATATAGTTTTTTTTAATCCCGTGAAAAAAGTATCTAATGTTTATAATAGATGATGAAACATTACAGCCTGATAAAAAAATGTGTAAAAACTATTACACGCTTGTTCGAAGGTTGATTTCTGTTCAATTTTAATTCCAACCTATCATTAACCAATCTACAAAATCAACCAACATATTAAGTCGCCTCCCTCCTTCCTTTCTTATGTGACACTTGTCGAAACTATGTACGACATACGTGTATATGTTAACTTTTTATACACGAATATAACTCATTAAAAGAATCAATTTCACACGACCTCATGATGTGAAAATTAAAACCGAAAATACGCAGCCATGAAAAATTTTCGAAATCCAGTTACGACAGACAGGATAGAGAATTATGTGACTTTTATTTATATTCTTTATGATAGTTAGCCTATTTAGAGTCTTACCTGGACACAGGCCTTCTCACAATGAGAGATCTTGGTGGACTTCACACACATCATTAAATTGCCTTGCTGATGTTTGCAGATTTCACGATGTCCTCTTTCACCGAAAAGTTCATGAACGTAAATTGAATGAAAGTAAATTTTAAATTAAATTTCGAAATACTCAGTAGTGTACGCCTGAATACACGACCATCTGCTAGAAAAGGGGTAAGTTCTTTAGCTAATCAAATTATGTAGTATTTTTACTTACCATACAATTTTACAAGTGATATCTCGCAATGATAATGGACACCGATTGTTAGAAAAAAACTTTTATTCATTCACCATTCTATCTCACTTCGCTCATACTTTCATTCAACCTCTTCGCTCCCGTCATTCACTCTTTTCTTACTATTGCATTCTTAATTAGTTTACTATAGCTGCATTCAAAATAAAACTTCTTACAATGTTGTGTATTACTTAAAACAGTGTTGTAATTTCAAAGCCAATAAGGATACAGAATGTAACTAAAATTCCGACGTTATTTCAGTCAGATTTTGATGTCTTTTTGTTTGATTTGATTGGACTGTACAAGATATTGACTCAATCGCATTGTTTACTTTACTCGCGTGATATTCTGGGAGTTTTAAATCAAAATTACAAGAAAATGATCAAATAAGTTTTATTAAATATCACTCTTTACAGTATATCATTTAAAAACATTTGAAAAATATAAAAGTAATTTAAAAAAAAAAATATTTTTCTTACTATTTTCTTATACAATTAACGGTATCGAATTAACCCCTAATCGGATATAAGGCAATTGAGTTAACACCCTGTATGTAAATATAACATAAACCCTTAAACAATAAACAATTTCGTTCTACTGACGATTCTGATTCTGACGCTTTGCACGATATTGATTGAAGGAGAGAAAGTGGATCAAGTGAAAGAGTTTGTGTATTTGGGTTCTATGTTTACGTGTCATGGAAAATGTGAAAGAGACATTGAAAGAAGAGTGAACAGGGAATCAGGTGAATGGTGCCTTGCATACCTTCATGGGCACCCAGAAAGTGTCTAAAAAGGCACGATTGGCTGTGCATGGGGGGGGTGCTGGTTCCTACACTTATGTATGGTAGTGAATGTTGGGTTTGGCAGAAGAAGCATGAAAGTAGAATTAATGCAGTAGAAATGAGAGCTTTGAGGAGTATGGCTGGAGTGACTCGGATGGATAAATTACGGAACAGTGTGATAAGAGAGCGTTGCGGCGTGGAAGAAGATATAGAGATATAGTGACAAAGATAGAGAAAGGGATGCTCAGATGGTTCGGACATGTAGAGAGAATGAATGAAAGAAGAGTGACGAAACAGATTTATAAGGCGAGTGTGAGCGGGCAAGTTGGTATGGGCCGACCAAGGAGAACTTATCATGACCAAATTGAGGCCATCCTGAAGAAGGGCCAGGTCAAAAGTACCCTTAACCGACGAGCGTGTATGAAAGCATTGATGCGTGTTGATGAGGCGAAAGATGTGTGTCAGGACCGTAGCAAGTGGAAGACTGTTGTCTCTGCCTACCCCGATGGGGAAAAGGCGTGAAGTATATGATGTATGTTTATTGGAATAAAAAAAACCAAAATTTTATTACCGTTGAATTTTTCTTGCGAATTATCAAAAGTCATATCACAATCAGAACACCCAGACACAGATTGAGAAATGTTCGTTTCCATTATAATTCTACCGGGAATTGAAACGCCTCATCTAGCACCAACAGCGCTAACTGCTGGGTCACCAAGGACGTCTTTGTTTTAATGCTAGAAATGCCTAGTCAAAAGTTTCGTGTACCTTATTCACTGTCTGGCGCCGGGGGCCTATCCTCGTTCTCCGTCCGACAATACACGACCAAATTAAAAACCGCATGATGCGAATGAAGCTTCATACTTGACACTGTTTTTTAATTTGGTCGAGTATTAAATACGTAATACTAATTGTTTCGGACGATAAACCAACTTGAATAGAACTGAGTACGGGTCAATGAGCTAAAGCAGCGTCATGTTCGTCATGTTCCCTTCCAGGCAAGTACGAGTACCTCTCGAAGAAGTGCAGCAGCTCGAAGCAGACCTCCGCGAGAATGAGCGCGATCACCATCCACTCGAGGCGCACGTGGTGCCTGTCCGCTGCCCACGACGACAGGAGCTCGAGCAGTTCCACGCAGTGAGACAGCCGCTCGTTTAGTACCTGTACATTATTACGACTGTCTCCCATCGAGTATATAACCAGGAACAGAGACGCAATAAGGGCCACACATTCCTAGTAGCTCAGCAGTGATGCATCACTTATAAATATCAACTTTACACTGAAATATCGACAGCGCCAACAACTGACCTGTGTGTACGTCTCCGTATGTTCCAAAAATATTCTGTATTTATTGTAATAAAGATAATATCTCTAACAATGCCGTGCTGTTCTATTCGGTGGTGTGGGAAAAACAGCAAAACATCTAATTACAAAACAAACGGAATCACATTTCATCGGTAATTAAATATGTAAATTTACAATTTTCGTCCATTATAGCAAAGCTCAAGTTAACTGGTCGATTTGAAGTGAAACAGTTGACGACACCCGTCAATTGTTTCGAACTCGGGCTCGCCAATCGCAGAGCAATTGTCACGGTAATGATATGGCAGAATAGTTTTCAAACAAGTTAAATGGCATTTCGTCTCTATTTCTGGTTATATAGTCGATGCTGTCTCCAATAGACCTCCACCCTCTATTTCGCTCCCTCTATTCGCAGTAGTATTGAAAAAAGGGATAATATTATTTGATCCTCAAAGTATAATGATCTATTGTAAATGTGCACTTTTTATAATAAATGATATTTTTTTATGTTTGATATATATATTAATTATTCCATCTATATTAGTTGATCTACGGATAAATTATAAATGAAGTGCATTCAAGGTAGCACTAGTATTATGTTTGAGCATACTAAATTAATATTTGATCCTCTTTTTCTATTATTGGCCTTTTTTTTTTAACAATTGATGATTTTTATAACCAGTATATCTCTTCATATCAATCGCCTATTAAATCTTGGTTGCTTAGTTGCGCCCTCATTCAGTACTTTAAGTTAGTATATGAAAAAGCAGCACGAGCCGAGCGAGCAAAGTGAGCATGCCGCGGCAGCCAGAAGCCAATTTGCTTGCGTTTCCGAACATATTTTCAGGTCTAATTATATTATAATTTATATAATATTAGTACAAAAACATAACCAACATTTACTTAATTTAAAAAAGTTAGTGTCTAAATTTTATTTTTAATGCTCATTTGTCTTACTTTTGAAGCCCAATATAAAACTATCAAAGTTAATTTATATAAATCTAACATTTTTTGCATAGCTTAGAACAGAAAGATGACCGTCTAGGTTTTTTGCCTGCTCCTTTTGCTAATTTAAAACGATCATTTAAGTACATGCCTTAAAAAAAATGCCAAATTACTTGTCTATTCATTTCAATTATCAATAAACTAGATTTTTTTTTAACTTTGGTAAGCACTTTTTTAATCAACTTGCTATTGAATATTGTCAGAAAAATCTTGTTGAAATTACCCCGTGTGCAGCGCGACGTAAACTGTCACTCCCCCCGCACCGCGCATCTACCTCAGGAACCGAGTCATCTAAGCGATAAGCCTGAAATTGTTTATGTTATTTACCCTTGTCCTTCTAGGTATAGTGAAGTAAGCGACAGTATTGGAGTAAAGTCGTTCGAGCCGCTCCTCTTCCCAGTAAAAGTCTGGCGTGTCCAGCATGTCTGATTCCACATTCAGCCGGTGACGGAGAGAGAATAGCTCGCCTAACTTGCGCACCACCTGGAATAAGCAACCATAGACCCTAGACTTAGGATGCAAAATCCCATGCATGCGTTACATTTGAATTTGCCTTCAATAGAACAGAACTGATATTAGAGGCCCGTGTTAATAAACTCTTAAGTACAAGAATACAAGATAAATAAATAGACTTGCTATTATTACATTTTATAATTGGGCTTTTTGTATGCAAATTATTGTACGAGTACTATGCACATTTTATAGGCCCCCAAGGCGGTTCATTGTGCTTTAAGTCTCGATTACTATCATCGATAACCGCTGTCACTAAAACTCACACATTCAAAATTTCAAACACTATGAAATCTCTATAGTGATTGGTCGTAGTTTCTAATTTAAAAAGAAACAACAAATTCTGGACTGTTAATATAAGTTAAACTTTACCCTTTTTGCATTTTGTTGAAAGTACAATACCTATTAGTTTTGATTTTGTGTTTAAAATTTAATGTGCTGCCATCTAGCGGTCAATAGCTGAACAACGACGAATTCGAGATGTTTTAAGGGGTAACCTATCACAAACTCGATTTCTTTTTTCCGAAATAACGTTCGTTCGAATTTTCATTACACCGAAAACCGAATGATAACGAAACCGTTGTTCTTTCAGAATATGTTGGATGTTTAGCGTAAGTTAAAAAGAAAAAACATTTTCCTCTCAAAATTACTCTCGAGGTTATGAAAATTCGAGCAAACGTTATTTCTGGAAAATGTCATTTCGGGCTACTGATAGGTAACCGTTTCAAGGTTTTAAAACAAGAATAAAAAGAAAATTGAAAATTTATATAAAATAAAACATAACGATGATATGAAACACCACCACAGGTGCGACTATCATATTTGCATTCCAAAGTAGCATTAACCATTTTTCTATGATTTTTGAGTTTTTGCGCGAGATAATTGGCATGATCATAACGTACAAAGCGAAACTTCAGATTGAGCTCAAGTATGTGGAACTTCGCGTACTGTTGGCACACATGCCATGCAAAGTAAGCCCGTTTAACTTCTTCTACTAAGTGTCCTGCGAAGGCAGGCTGCACGCACCTCCTTCTTGTCGACGTGCACAGCGCCCTCGCGCTCCATGAGGGCCGTGTGGCCCCGCACCGAGGCCGCCAGCGCCTCCAGCCGAGCCTCCAACGCGCCCAAGCGGGCCGACTGGACCATGGCGTGGCTGTAGCATGAGGACCCATTCACACATTCAGAATGTACACAACCACTTAGCAGTAGAACTCCTTGCGAAAGAGTTCGTCCAAGGAATTACTGCCACCTTACCTATTTCTGCCGCCAAACAATAATGTGAGCATTACTGCGTTCCGGTTTTAATAGGCAGAGGTGCTGGTGAAATTACAGACACATGGGAGTTATCAACTTATGTCTCAGGGTGACGGGCGCAATGGCAGTGCCCCTAAAATCTTTGCGGTTTAAAGCTCTGAGTGGCACTGCAACTGTTATGAACAGGCGTGTCACTTACCACCAGCCCACGACTTATTCGTCATCACATGTTTTTAAAAACCCTTTACTCACAAGCAGTGCCTATTACTAACCTTAAATTTAAGTTAAAGAAATGCACACAAGTCGAAAATCTATTCCCAATAATTAGTTTGAAATTGTCTGTGTATATATTTAGCTTACCTGAATGTATACCTCTCCAAGGAATTGTCACAATCGGGAACTAGTACGAAACACGATTCTTGTAAGGAACAGTTTTTGCTGAAACACAAATAATATTAAATTTGTATTGAATTGATAATATTTTTTTGTGAAATCACTCCACTAGTTTGTTACAATTATTACTACAAAGATCGAACACCTAGAAAAAAATCCTTCTATCCGGCCGGATTCGAACCGACATCTTCGTGCCAGATGCTATGCCAACTAAGTTACGGAACAAACCAGCTGACCTCACGAATTTTTCCATGTGCTTGTTTGTTGGATCTTTGTATTTGGTTTTTAACAACTTTTTAGCCGTAGCGCCATCTATGAGAAATCTATGAAAATATTTCGTCACCCAGTTAGGTAACTTTACAGCTACCAGCCCTGGCTAGAGATGTCGCTATTAATTGTAATTAAATTTGTTTCTTAGTATTAATAAATTAAATATTTTTTTGATAAACAGGCATAATACATTATGTACTCACGCATGTGGTTGGTAAACATAAGACATAACTTCTTTTTCCCTTTCCACTACTTCTCTTGGATAGCTTTCTATTTCAAACCTGAAATAATTACAGATTTACTGTTAATAACAAGAAAACAAAATTTATACAATTCAAGTAACAACAAAATAATGTTTGTAGAAAATCAATAATGGTGAGAACTTTGCAGACAATCACCTCAATTTCCTGGTCTCAAACTAGAAAATACCCTGTCCTATAAACGAGTACCAAAATAACAATACTATCCTAAAGAGTAGTAGCTAGAATTCTTCACAGAAAATTCTGTTTTTTTATAATACTAAGTAACGGGACCAACAAGTCGTGCACCTGGTGATAAGCGACAGGCCTATTCATAAGAGTTGCAGTGCCACTAGCTCTTTAAATTTCAAGGATCTTAAGGGCACTGCCACTGCACCTTTTACCCTGAGACATAAGTTAACAAGTTCCATGCACCTGTAACTGTAACCACCAACCAGTACCCTTACCCTTCCACCAGAACGCAGTAATGCTCACATTACTGCTTGGCGGCAGAAGTAGGTAAGCTGGCAGTACTTAGCTGGACAAACTCTTTCACAACGAGCTCTACTGCTAAATTGTAATTATAAAAGTTAAAAAGAATTTAACTGGGGTCTCTTTTTATGTGTAAAATAAAACTTCTAAGAATATGATCTGCGCTATACCTCCATGGTGCCTGAATTAAAAAACCTCACAAAATGTGAAACTACATGCACTGAATTTCTATAGTCTTCAAAATGTCAACTACAATATAATATAATCAAAGTGCACTTACATCTTAACGAAATCCAGCACATTGCTGGCCTCCAGCTCTGTGCAGTTCCAGAAGACTACAGCACCATCTCTGAAAAACATGATCTCCCGTCTCTCCGAGCCTAAACTGTACACTGCTTTTGCTACCACCACATCCGCCATCTCATGGCCATTTAGTCTGAAAAGGTTTAAAGCTATACAGAAAACGAAGAGAGCTGTACAGAGCTTTACAAGCTAATGCAGTAAAAAAGATTCAGTTACTACTAACAATACATGTTGCTAACTATATAATGTGTAGGACCCTTTAAAATCTGTTTAACTGTATTCTGTGACACTGGCTCACTTCAACACACAATGGCTTAACACAGCAACATTCAAAGTTTTCGAGCTCCCACTAGTGGCTTACTCGAGAGGTTCACGGCTTGCCACCACATGCATAAGACAATGTTTTAAATCTACTTATAAATATAGACTACACAATTATGATAGGAGATTTTTACTACAATACATTTCGGTTAGATAGATGGATAGATACATAAAAAGTTTATTTGGGTCTTTAAACATACACACATAACAGAAAAATATGTAATATAATAAAAAAAAAGGAAAAAGAGCAGAATCGCAGCAGTGCCTGGCACCCAGTTACAAAATGTGCACTGTACAGAAGCAAACTGCTAATTTTCAGTGACAACCTACAATAGTTGTAAACTAAGGGTGCCTTTTTATCATACTATATTTAGAAGCGTAGCTGCAGTGAGAGCCACAATTAGTACAGGTGCTCGACTTTTGCACACAAGACATTGTATGAGAAATTGTAGTGCATCTAATTTAAAGGCCTAAACCATGACGCTAAACCTTGCTCTCAGCTTTTTTAAATAAAAAAACTGGCATGAATAGAATAGAATAATTTATTTCATATCATCAATGTTACAATATTTCAATTCAAAATACAATGTCAAAAGATAATAATATGATTGTCACTAATGCAAACAATAATAATGAATATAAAATAAAGAAGTGTAACCACTGCAAGTCTAACTATAACGAGTCAAGTAAAACAACAGTATCATTGTTTCAAAAGAAACTCATCAACACTATAGAATTCATTATCCAATAAAAGGAGTTTTAATATCATTGACTTACAAATAAATGGACAACGGATCTAATACAAAAACCACAAAAAAAAGTCCCAAGTCAACCTATTTAAACGTAGTGACATGTCAAGGAATATGAAAAAGCTAAAGCGTTGAATTTAAACTGTAATGTCATCGCAGTACTGTCTAATATTGCTTGCTTCGCTGTCAGTCGAACAAACGAAGACTAGAGCGTGAATGACGCTCTGTATACGATTTTAACGCCCTACAAGTTCGCACACATTTTAGCGCGGACCCGACGTCCATATAATTGTAAGTCAATGTTTAATATGAAGTTTATTGACTATCATGAAGTGTTACTACCATATTATTAAATTATTTTTGTGAAATTACTCCACTAGTTTGCTATAATTATTTACTTATGTAAAAGATCATACACAGGCAAACTTATAACCCCTTTTTTTAATTGGGCGTTACAAATAATTGATGATGTAATGGTGATAAATAAATATTATAACATAATCATAGAAGTAACATTTGTTTTGTTTGCTATTTACTTACGTGGAATGAGAACAGAACTCTTCATAAAAGTAACATTATCAAGATAGAACTGTATAGAGGTGAAGTTATCCAAGAATTGCGTCATACAAAATATTTGATAAAAACCTTACGTTCCCGGTTCGTACAGCTTCTGGTGCAGCAGTGCTTCTTTGAGACTCTTTAGATCGTACGAATTGGCCGTCGCGTACGCCAAAGTCAAGTAATGTCCCTCCTTCACTTGTAAATCGCGTAGATCAGTCTTCTTATGTAGGGTTTTCTTTTTTAGAGAAATACTCGAGTTTTCTAAAGTGGTTACAGGCTGCATTGCCTCTGTGGTAATATTCCTAAGTATTAAATGCCGGGTAGTTGAAAATAAATCATTATTAGCACATAAAAATGGTCGTTTCGTATGCAGAACATCTGCCACAGAATTTATGGAAAAACATTTTGAATTTATGTTCCGGGCGGCTCTAAACACAATTCTTGATAAAAACACAGACATGATTCATTTAATTTTATATTACTAAATGTTTTGAAATGATTTTCCATGTATTTAAATAAATAGTTACATAAAATTAAAGGTTATATGTATTAAATACCAGCTTTGACATTGACACAGTGTTGCCAGACTTTTGCGAAGGTAATTCGCCAATTTATGTATTTATGTGTGTTAAGTAGGTAGCCGTTATTTGCCCAAGTCATAAAATCCCCTAAAAATCAAGAAAAACAATTCTAAAATTCTGTTTGCTGCCGGACATTGGGGAATATGAACTCTCTTATTTCCGCAATTCCCCACACGTAGAATTACTCAAACCCCCAAATGAGTTATTTTACAACTCCATTCCCCACAAAATCCCCAATCAAATTTGTAATTTCCCTAGACATTATTTTGAGTAGCCTAAAATCGCCTTTTCCTATTTCAAACATAGCCTAAATATCGCCAAGTCGCCGATCACTTTTTTAGTCGCCGCGCGAATCTGGCAACAATATTGACAATGACTTTTTGGTTTTACAGCTCTGGGTACTTTGCCCTTTTTAGCCATTGACAATAAAGTAATTACTTAGGTAATTTTCCGATAAATTCCAAATAGTGGAAATTTTTTCGGAAAATTTCCCGAAAATTTTCGAATAGTGAAAAAATGAAATTGCGAATGCTCATAAATATTATATTCTACGTTTAGAAATATCTTTTGAAGTTTTATTTAGCGTTAAGTATAAAATAAACTTGTTAAGTATTAAAGCTACCTACAGAAAAACGAGATGTAAATAAAATTATTGTACAACAGCGAAAAAGGTGTCGGTTACATTTTAAACTAAATAAGTTCTAATTTGTTTGTTGCAAATGTTTGACACCACATTACATACACTTACCACTGTATATCCTATGTATCAGAATCATTATTTAAGTATTCTATACATATAACTGAAAACAACACACTACATTATAGAAATATTTATGTAATTTATTTAAGTTTAATCGTATATTCGCGACACAAGTCCGGTACTCACTCGGTTTTAGAGCCCACTGAAAATCAGCGTCACACCCTTTTCTCGGTGGTGACAATAGCTGAGTGGGATCATGTTACATACGCCACAGCCGCACACATGACATTCGATCTAATTGTGTTGAATATTTAATGTTTGCTTTGTTGTTGTATATGATTTTATTTTTATTCCTTTTTTTCCGGTTATTCCAATTTTAATTTTTTGTTTTTAATTTAGCTACATCTTTTTTTTATCTTCGTTTTATTACTGTGTATATTTTTGTTGTGCCGTAGCAATAAACGATTTCTATTCTATTCTATTCTAAAAGAGACCTAAAACGGGGCATTCATTGTCCTGCATTGCAGTCTAAAGTTTGGGAAAACATCTTACACGCGAGGTTGATGTCATTTATTACTAGGTTTCAAGTGATAAGTGTTAGAGCGTGCGTTTTTTTGAGTAGAAACTCTTAAAAAGACTTGTAAATACCAAATAAATAGAGAATTTAAAGTTACAAGGAAAAACTAACACATATGAGTGACACAGTATAATACAGAACAAAAGCTACATTGGTTGACAGATTTCAATATTAAAGATTTCCAAAAAACTACTTCTTTCAGTAGCCAGGAACACTATCCTTAACAGTACACGGCTTCACATTGCTGGGTTTAAATAAGGACTCGCATGTGAATTGGAAATGTCATATACAAAAAAAATAAGAAAAAGTTGTCTAGTTTCACGTACGCATTAAGAGAGATAAAGAAAACGACTGACCTAATGACTGCAATGGCCGCTTATTATGCTTACACTCATTCCCACCTAAGTTACGGAATTATACTTTGGGGTAATAGTGTGCACGCACGAGAAATATATACAATCCAGAAAAGATGCATCCGTATTCTTGGCAATTTGAGTAGTACGGATAGCTGCAGACCGCACTTTAAACAATTTAAAATTTCGACTTTGTGTTCTATATATATTTTAGAAATTTGTAAATTTATTAAACAACACCCTGATTTTGACACTAACACTGACGACCTGCCTCAACGACACACTTTTAGACCACGCAATAGATTGCTTCTGCCACGATCTAGGCTACACATACACAGCTCAAGTCCCCACACGATGTCGGTGAGGATATTCAACAAGCTCCCGCCCATTATAAAAACGAGGAAAAGTATTCACTGTTTCTAAATAAATTAAAATTACATCTTATTAATAAATGCTATTACAATTTAAATTAATACTTTGATGACAAATAAAAATAATAATATTATAATAAATTTGAATAATAAATAAATGTTAACTAAAATATATACTACTGCTATATGCTACTGTAATCTAATTAAATTCAAACTTTCAAGTGACATAATTCTACTCATAATATGACGTATTTCTTTATTATTATATGACATTTTTTTTTAATATTATTATTTGGTAAATAACAATTTTAATTTTTTTTTTTTTTAATATATAATAGACACACGCTTGGCCACAATCACAATTAATATCGGCCTACCTCTGCTGTTATTGTTATCCCTAATAAAGGGCTCACATGTGTAGCATTATTTTAAATTTAAGACATGTATACCATATGAATGCAATAAATATATTGAGTATTAACAATAAGACCTGAACAACATGGTTTTCTGAAGGGCAAGTCCACTACCTTAGCTTGTTATTAGTTTATTAGAGAGATTTTAACTTGTATGGATAAAAGGATACCTGTCACTTCCATTCTATTTGACATGAGTAGAGCATTTGATTTTGTATGTCACAAAACATTGCTATACAAACTGGAACTGTACGGAATACGTGGTAGGGCAAATGATTTAATAGCTGATTACCTTCATGGGAGAACTCAATGGAAGTAAACAGTGTCAATAAACATTTGGAGTACGTTGCTAGCAGATCTAGCTTCAAAATTAAGTGTTGGTGTACCTCAAGGATCAGTCCTGGGTCCTCTCTCATTTATTCTGTATGTTAACGATTTGTCCATGGTCACACAATATCCATGTACCATGTCTGCGAACGACCTAACTATTGTAGTTTACAAAAGACCGAGACTTGATTTAGAATTCGAAATTAACGAAACTATCAAACGAGCAGTAAATTGGTTGGAATGCAACAACCTTCGAGTAAACTTGTCAAAAACTACGTTTCTACAATACCTAAATCACAATAAAAATCCTGCAAAACTCGCCATAGCACACAACAATAGCGAACAATAACGAAGATTCTTGGCATCATACTCGACACACATTTGACCTGGACTGAACACGTTGAATCAGTTTGTGAAAAAATCAACAAATTTGTGTACGCAATTTACCAAACAATTTAAAAAAAACATCTGTGACTCTGCGGTATGGAATTGTTGTCTGGGGTAACTCTGTTCACATAAGTCGAGCTTTTATCTTACAGAAGAAGTGCGTAAAGGCGATGTGTGGTGCTGGTAAGCGATAAGCTGTAAGCCCTTATTTAAAAAACTAAGAAGATTGTCCTTTCCTTCCTTAATTATATTCGAGATATGTATTTTTGTCAAAAAATAGCTATTAATTTACTTCAAAAAAATGTTCCATTTTTAACCCGATATCCCTATCATTTGGCCCGACATATACACACTGCTACATGTTTTCAAAGGAATTGCTATATAATGTGCGTAAAATTATATAATGCATTACCTGACTATATAAAAATGTTACCTACCTCTAGATTTAAGAAAACACTATTTGAATTGCTTGTGACAAATTGTTTTTATAATGTAAATGAGTTTTGACATTTAAATTTTGAAGCCTGCGACCCTCTACATATTTATTGCTTTGACATGCGTTTTTTTTTATTAAATCACAATTTTTCTCTAATTATATTATTTAATGACAAAATGTAAGTTTATAACGTAATACGATATGATTTTAATCATATAAGTAATACGACTATGTGTAATAATTGCGAACAATGTATAATATTTGCTATTAACATTTGTATGCCAGTTACTGGCGCAACACGCTGAACCATAAGTGTAGTCTTAAACATGTTAACTGTATTTACCGTATATGCTTACAAATAAATATATCTCTATCTCTCTATCTCTAGTCCACCGATGCGTCCGCCCCGTAATACAGGATTATGAATGTAGTCGCAGCGCGCAAGCCATCCTGCCATCCTGCAATGCGTCCTACGAATCTCCACATAGAGTCTCCGTGGGCCATACTCAGTACGAGTAGTTTTTGCCTGTGTGGCGAAATAATATGATTTTTTCAAAATAGACATTTTTCCATGACCCAACACTACAATGACTTCTAAACAGTGTTACCACAATCACAAAAATGTTATACCACACAAAAAAATTGTATTGAGTTTTTATTTCATTCTCACATTTTGTAACAGTTGGTCAAATTCAGTCTATCAATGCACTTCCTTCGTCAGATGTAAAGAGTATGTGCAGTTTCCGTGCAAACTCTGGCCCTACTCGACGCGTCTTGGCATTTGGAACGGCAGCTCGCGCTACGCTAACGTCTGCCAATGTGTTCACAGCGTTTGAAGTTTGTAGAGCCTGAAATTATTTCAAATCGCATTAACTTAAATCTTTACCTACTTACATTGTTGTTAATTTACAACACTAAGGCTCTAGTTTTCAGACCAAAACAAAAGTAATTTTGAAAATATTGAAGTCGCTATGATAATATAAGACTGGCAAACAAAAACAAAATTCTGACAATCTAACCTCATACAACACCATTGGAGTTTTGTACTGAGCGCATATGGCCCTGGAAGTCTCCAAACTGGACAATGGGAGGACAGCGACCATTTGTTGCCATAGTCTACTCATACCATTCCCTAAAACAATAAACGCATTATTAGCAATACTACAAGGTGGTCAATTGCAAGGTTTCGACATGAACAAGATGTTTTCAATTTCTCACCATCGCCATCAATAGCAACACATTGCTTGTTGTCGCCCCTCATGTAGAATTCAGCTTGCTCATCACTGGCCCGTTTTGATTTCCTACATACCAACAAAATAATTATGATTTACAATATAGAGAAGAAGTAGCGTTTTTCAAGACAGGGCTCTAAGCTAAGCATTTAACCAATTCTACACTTCTTTATCACAGCACACCTGTGAGTAATAAACGTATAAAACATATAAATCGCACAGAGTTCACAGTTCTGACGTGACTGGATAGTCATAGCCAGAGATACTTGAACCAGAAAAATCGTGTCTGTCAGGATGGCTGGACCAATTGAGATATACAAATCAAACTGTGCTCATTATTTACTACCTATTTTCTGCGTGTGAAACTGTAAAGGATTTAAATTAAGTTCAAACTATAAGTGACAGTTTGAACAGAGCATCATGAGAATTGTTAACACATATTTATAAAGTCCAGGGCACTCGAGACATCTGGCACTGTAGCATAATAATGTGTATGTACTACATACAAAAATGACTACTACATCAAATTTAACATCTCAAAAATTATATTTTTAGAAGCTTACTTATATGGTGCTTCAGCTAGAGCCTTAGTAAACTGCGCTATGAGAAGAGCCAGATCATTGGGAGAATCCACCATTGCTGCATCGCAGCCTGAGGTGACGATTAGATCTGCCAAGAATAAACATAGAACTTAGACTAGGTAGCTCAGAAGTTTTGGATTTGAAGCAAAATCTTGTTAATGAGACACGAGAACTTACCTGTGACGGCCATTTCAAGTTCAATTTCAGTCATTAATTTGCGATTACTGTTCAGAGTGCGGCGACTAGGCGATCTGGAAAATAACATTGATGACGAAAATTATAATATTGTATTGTTCGTCTAAACCATGGATTATAACCATATCATAAAAGCGCAACTACACATCTGTCAAAGAAAAATGGCACCAATTATGTAGTGATAAAATTGTTGGTATCACTCACTTGAAATAGTCTTTACTGCCAAAAATAACGAGAGTTATAGCACAAGCAACCATGTCCTTGACCTGCATGAGGTGTTTGGCCAGTGAGTGCTGGCTAACATGCTCTGCGATGTCATCGGCGCAGAGCACGTACAGCGCGTGTTCGCAACGCTCCTTGCGAGGCGTCAGTTGCACCTGGAAATTTAAACACAAGACATGTGCAAATGATGTTGAATTGTAGAAGCGTGAAGAATAATGTCGTAATGACACAGCGAATAAAGTTGCTAGATAATCATGTAACAATAAATAAAAGTAATGTGTAATATTTTGAACTTTTTTGAACAATAACTGAGTTATGACGGATTTGTTATCCTCAGTTCTATTGTAATTAATAAATCTTAGCAACGCCTACACATGCAAAGAACAAGGTGTAAGACAATAATAATAATGTATTTGCTAAATGCTGTCATGCTCCATCATTTATGTAATGAAATGACAAAATCTCATGTTGTTAATAATAATAACATTTATTTTCAAAAAACTTTTGGCTTACAATATAAATATAAAGTAAGGTTATTAAAATACGAGATGAGATCCCTGACTGACAAAGAAACGTAAGCAATGAGATGAGAGCCAGTGTTCCTCCGCACGCTTAAATGGACATTATCCTACGCGGGGAGAATAACAAGGTCCACTATCCTTTCAACTAGAATAAAAACAAAAAAGAGAAGTGATAATAATAGCAGAAATAG